TAAGTATTCGGGTTGTTACGGTGTAGGAAATAATATTGATATGATTATGTGTGACTGTACAACCCATTGGCAAAATAGATATTTTAATATTATTTTAGGGAGTTTTTTCTAACCACCATAAAAAAAATACTATATTGTTAATATATCACCCGATATAGTAGTCATCATATTAATCCCGGGGGACGTCACCGTGTTTCGATAAAGTTCTTGGTTAAATCGACAATTATTAGATTACCGAACCCTGCACATGGGTGATATTTTGTAACGGCGAAAGATGATAATTATTAATTCTTACAGTGTTTAAATTTTAGGGTGAACATACCATTTATATTCATAAGGATGCCAAAGAATATGTGTACGTCATCGCTTTAAATATAATTGCATTAAAAGGTATTGAAAAAAATATATATATCCATTTGAAAGTTATGCATTACAAAAAATATGAACTTTTTTTAAAATAATGTATTGTATTATGTAGTTAATCGACTAAATAGTGTAAACCCAATAATTGATAAATATAATGTTCTTAAACTCTTAAGTTATTTGTTGTGGAATACATCTACTAGGTATGTAATAATTTAATAATTGAGAGTAATTAGATGAAATATTCATAAGAATTGAAATGGAATACATTTTAACGTACATTTAATTTGTTTAAATTACAAAAGCTGATAAATATTAAAATCAAAATATGTATAAGTTGAAAAATTTAAAAACTAGTAATTTATATTTGTTCAGTTCACCAACAGTTACAAAAGTTATTTATATTTTAATAACTTAAAGTTATTACTTATAATTGTTATATTTTTCGAATGTTTGGTATTATATATTTTTTAAAAAATAAGTATACATTCAAATCTAATTTTCGATGGAGGTTTTCTCAAATTATAAGCGTTAAAAACAAACGAGCTTAAAATTAAACTACGTAAGGCTAATCTATACTGAACACCACCTTATTGCAGACGATGTATTCCATTAATTTTTCTTAGCCATCTCAATAACCAATGTAAATTTTGAATGTTAAACGCACCCCTTCCGCTATAAAAACACAAAAGACTTCATTGGGGTTTTGGCATTGAGAGAAAATACGCATTTCTATCGTATCTTTACAGTCCATTGATCCAAACTTGGCGACGCCCGGAAGGACAATTCTGCATTGTCTGTATTCCTTGTGAATGATGACCTGTCCAATACTTTAAGCCACATAAAAATATTATCGATCTATCCATACACAGTGTAATATGCGTGTGCATATTTTTTTTATTATTTATTTATTTTTTTTTATTAAAATATACATAACGTTTTCCTAAATAAAAATATTTTTACGGTAAAAACTAAATTATTACCTTTTGGTTATCGCGTATAGTGATAAGATATTATTTAAGCTAGTAAAAATGACCTACATATTATTTTCCATAATAATAAAATCTAATAAAATATTATTAATATTATTTTGATACACATGGATTGGTATAAAGTCCTACCAAAGTTTTACAATAAAAAAAAATGTAAAGTTTATTTTATGTTAAAGGCGAGATTATCTCGTTATAATTTAAATAAAATAAAAAAATTCAATGAATGCTTATAAATAATATCTACATAAGTAATAAATTTATTTTCAATAAAATCACCGTGTTTTTAACTTTTATTTAAACACATATACTTTTATAATGTTTTAAATGGTTAAATTTTTTTTATGAATTTCAGTTGTAATAAAAAAAAAAAAAA